TTTTTTTTTTTTTTTTTTTTTTTTTTGTGCTGGAACTGCCCGGGACCTTGACCGGGACTTTGCCCGGAGCTTGCCCGGCCAGGCCACCCGGGCCAATCTGGGGCAACCTGAGCCGCCCGGCTGGTAAAACAGTGATATAGGCAAAATTATGGCGATGAGTCTATGACGTTAAAAGTTTAGGCATAGACTAATGTCACTAATCCAATATTATACTACGCTTGTGCTGGGCTGGACAGACCCAACCGGCCGCACAGCTGTGCTAGGTGTCCAGCCGTATAGTTCAGACGGGTGGGGCCTGGACGTCCAAGCTTGTAGCGTAGACTTTTTTTTTTTTTTTTTTTTTTTTTTTTCAAAAACGGGCCCAGTGCCCAAGGCTGATAGCTTGTAGCGTAGACTAATGTCGCCAATCCAATATTATTCCCCACTGTAGGCTACCGTCTGCGCTGCGCGGCCGTGCATCTGGGCTCGCTCAGACCAGACCCTAATCCCCTGCGGAGCTGGCTTTGCGTGACATCTGCTCTTGGTTTGAGCATTCACACTCTGGCCTTGCCTTTCAATTTCGTTATGGGTCGCCTAAAGGGGGTGTGTCTGGACGGGTGCATTATACTCTAATTATTTCTGTAGCATTTTGCTTCTTCACTGTTTCCCTCTAGAGCTACGGCGGCTGTAGGTTGCTCATACGTTCTTCTTGAAGATCCTCTACTTTCCTGAAGCCCGCATATTTATCAAAGGCGGCCGGAATTAAAAAAAAGAAACAGAAACGAAAAGAAGGGTTCCCTGAATAGAACTTATGGTAATTACAGCTGCATTTTGGGCAATATGCAGTCTGGATAGAGCAATAATGGTCGGGCGAAGACGGTAGTCCCCCTTCTCCCGCTTTTTAGTCATTTATTCTTGAGGGAATGCTGATTGTAACCCAAGCCATTGTGCATTGCAGTGCTGTCAATTATTCTTTCGAGGTCTCTCTGGAAACTGTGGCACCCTTTAAACAGTTAAACCGCCAGTACCTCGCCCACTATTGATGCTAGGCCTACAAACGCCATGCGCACCAAGTTCTGCTGAACCGCCAGTGCAACACCGAAGCCCGAAAGCTGCGGTGCGTTAATGTGAACGGCCCGCGGCCGATGTATGGGCAAGGTACCGGTGGTTTAAACCACCACTACCTTTCAGAGGTGAAGTCTACATCGTGAATATAACCTATACCCCATTCTTCGGAGGCGCGAGCACATGCAAACCAAAATGGCTGGCGGAACCAGCCAAAAGAAAAGAAAAGAAGTTGCACTGGCACTTCGGCAAAGCTTGGTTCACAGTTGTACTCCGCCTGGGCAAAAAGAGGCTCAGAGGTAGTGGCGGTCTGAAGCTAAATAAAAAGGCGTCCAGAACTGCAACAGCGAAGCAACGACAAGGAACCAGTGGCTCGGTCTGAAGTTGGGAATGGAAAGGAAGGCCCAGGGATTCCGTCTAGTCTTTTTTTTTTTTTCCCCTTTTCTTTGGCAGTCCTCTCATGGTGTTTCGGTGCGGTGTTGTTTTTGCTGATCTTGTATCAACTGCCCTCCAGGTTTATTCTTGCAAGAATATGTTTAAGTTTCTTTCCCAGTGTAGAGCAAATGGTTGGCGGGTGTTGGGAGCGTCCTCGAGTCCGACAGCTGTAGCCTGCAGGGATCTGGCGAGAGGTGTGCCGACTATCTTTGTGGTTGGAAATGAAGGTGTCGGTTTGCGTGAAAACGTCCAGCGAGAGTGCACGGAGATGGTCCGGATTCCTGGAAGTGCAAGGACGGATCTTGGTGGTCGTCCGTTTGTCATCGACAGCTTGAATGTTAGCGTTGCAGCTGGAATACTGCTTCACGAATTGCTGATGCCGTGCCAGAGAGTTGTCGGGACAGGTTATGGAGGAGAGCAGCACCCAGGAGGGCTTTCAGCTTTGGACTGGTCAGACTCTTCGACATCTCAGGAACATCAACCCGAGCAGCACGAAGATGGCCGACAGGCGACATTGGCGGCATGGGAAGAAACACAGTCTCGCCGCATGGAATAATTAGAATCTCCCGGCATGGACTCTGTGCGTGTGCTGACAGAAAAGCTGTAACATGTGTGAGTGAGCGGTTGGAAACTCTGTCACTGTTGGTTGTGGTGGTTTGAGTTTGGACACGCCATTCAGTTCAGGCATGTGCAGTGCTCTTGAACACCGCAGACTTCGTTCTGCAATGCTGCCGGTATTTGCATCGTCTGAAGTATGTGTCCAAGCTTTGCACCTCTTGCAGGTAGTGAGTGGTCCACATGACTCCGACGTCTGTTCCTGTTGAGCAGGTGAATGTCACGAACGTCGCACCATTGGATATACTCATCTTAGGACACCTGCGTAAACTTCTAACAGATGTGCCACCCCAGCCAACCCCCCACCTGACAATGTCTTTCGCTTGGATCGGACAGGCCACGAGGGGCTGCACCTTGCACCATTGGATATAGTTTTATGGAGTCCGGCGCAGTCCGCACCTTTTTTGAGGAGTTCCAGGTCTATTGGGGGTACAGATGTGCAAGTTCCCACATTTTTGAGGTACACTTGTGGTCCAATGAACTGTGGGGCATGAGAAGCACAGGTTCAAACTTCAGACCTGCTCGAGGTACTGACAGAAAATCCGTGCCCGTCAGAACGTGGAAGTACTTGTAAAGTGATCATGGACTCTTCCATGGAAACCACTGCTACAAACCCCATGACTGTTGGGGATACCGGTGCAAACTTGCAAAGTCTGTACCTGTTGGAGGTATTGGCACGAACTTCAGGCCAAGCGGAGGCTCTCACTGGAGGTATTGGTGCGACCGTTTCACCAGTGTTTTGCACGTACCAGTGCAAAGGCTAAGAGTGGGTGCGCTGGTGCAGACAGTGGTCTGCAACAGGAGAATACGCAGGTGTGGACAGTTGTGTGATGCGAGCTTCGTTGAAGAGAGAGAGGTCTTCCCAGGCAGGTCAATCTGGAGAGGCCTGCTGTATACACAAGCCATCTAGGGAGTGATGCAACACAGCAGACCACCTATCTATACGAGCCCTGTCATGTGGCCAAGCTATCGCAGACTTCTGTAGAGGGGGCCCTTCCACGTTGCAAGTGAGCATATCAGGTGGCAGCCTGGTACAACCACCTTGCTGCCAGGGCATTGGGGCAGGTAGTAGCATGGACCGGCACAGGTTCAGACCGTGGCCTGGTATAGGCAGAACCTCAGAGTCAGTGACAGGCAATAGCTTCGGCCTGGCACCGTGCCAACCGGCCATTGGCCTGTGATCAGACATTGGATACATACATTGACAATGCAGATGGGGGGCCGGTTACGTGCAACCCATACGAGAAAACATTGGAAAACAGTGACCCTAAACCACCAGTACCTCGTCCACGCAAACTTGAGAATCAGAATTGCGCCAATCTGTGTTCTTCGGATGAACAGTGGTACCGGACCAAAATGCTGGCAGTGCCCGTCAAAAATGAAAAAAAAGTGCGCTGCTGGTGTTTCATTTTGGTTGGCGCACAGTGCAAATCCGCATCGGGAAAAAGAGGCTCGGAGGTACTCGTGGTTCAATGTGTCTGTGACCGTGTCCTACATCCACAAACCACTTCCGTACTCCAGGGTCTGAAAGCAACTCCAGGACTTGAGGACACGGAACTCTTCTGTGACTGTGATCTGGCCTTACGTACAGGGATGTGAAGCTGTTTGGTGTACACTCAGGTGCAGATGCTGGTGATGGGGCTGGTAAAAGCACAGGCACAAGCAGTGGGAAGGTACAGGCAAAGGCGAAGACAGTGGCGTGTGTCAGGCACAGGTGCAGACAACAGCACAGACACCGACATGTGTGCCGACAGACAGACGGTGAGCCTTTGTGCGGATGAATGGTTGTATACACTCAGAGCCTTCCTAATCCTGATACTGTGAGCACAGGGTTAGGAACAGAGGGAGGGCAAGCAGTGAAATGCAGCCTGGCCTGGGACAGCCATCAGACTTGGCAAGGCACAGGCACAGGCACACACACAGGCACAAGCATTTAAGGGTTACCAAGGCATAACCACAGGCACAGAACCAGGAGCAGAAGTAGAGGTGCATGGAGTATTGACTAGTTTGGCCATAAATAGCCACAATCAGAGATATAGGCATGCAGGCACAGGCAGGCATAGCTGCCCACGCGCACAGATGCTTGCAGCAGTTGCTTTAAATTCACTTTGCTGCAGTTTTCTCTGTGTTAGCTGGCTGCTTGGCTTGTGACTTTCCTCGTGGAATTGACTGCGACCAATGTCAGGAGTTGAGTTGTCTCTCATTTCAAATTCATGGGATGTTTCATATGAAAGAGCACTCAAGCATAACCATCAGACAATAAAGTTGTTCTGTTGTTGTTTGTTGTTGAGCGAGTGTGTGTATTATGAATTTTCACCACAACACCCGCTGTTCCACCCGGATTAGTAGGTCCAAAATCACAGCGACTTTACCTCTATTGCAGACAATGAAGCATGCTTTAAGATGATCCAATCCACCATTGTACAAGCGAAGCGACACACTTGAGATGAGCCAACCGAACAATGAAACAGTTAGCAATATGAAATAATGAAACACAATAGATCCATTATGTTGTTTGCTTTATTATCATGTTAACCTCAGCTATCTTTGGGAGGCCGATGTGTGTGTGTGTTTGTCTGTGGTACGAGGCTCCTGCCAGGGTTGTCACGCGGGGATCCCKGGGGCCCAAGCCGGGGCAGGGGTTTCACCTCCAGACCCCCGCCCCTGCCCCAACCCCGCCACCCC